CGTCAGAAGGCATGGAGCTGGGAATACTGCTTGGGGTGAAACTAGGCATGGAACTAGGCATTGAGCTTGGCTCGAGAGAAGGCTCACCAGAAGGCATCAAGCTTGGGATACTACTTGGGGTCATACTTGGCATGGAACTAGGCATTGMGCTGGGTTCTAGAGAAGGCCTGCTAGATGGCATTGAGCTTGGGATAATACTTGGGGTCATACTTGGAATGGAACTAGGCAATGTGCTGGGTTCCAAAGAAGGCTCAACTGATGGCTCAAAGCTTGGMGGTGAACTTGGTACTATACTAGGCAATGAGGTAGGATCTGAACTGGGTAATAAGCTGGGTTTATTGCTCGGAAAGATGCTAGGCATCTCACTTGGCATGGAACTCGGCATTWCGCTTGGGTCCAGAGAAGGCTCAATAGAGGGTTTGTAGCTTGGGTGTGAACTCGGGGCRRTACTTGGCAATTCACTTGGGAYTGAACTTGGTACTTGACTGGGGAGGAAACTAGGCGGTGAGCTAGGGAGCGTGCTTGGTTGTGAGCTTGGTAATAGGCTTGGTATCGTGCTTGGCCCTATGCTAGGCACAACACTGGGTGATGAGCTGGAGCTGGGCAATAAGCTTGGTAAGGAGCTTGGAATTTTGCTAGGGACTGTGCTAGGCATTTCGCTGGGTAGGCTTGGAACGCCACTTGGTTTCTCACTCGGACCAGCGCTTGGCTTGTCACTTGGGTCTTCACTTGGCATTCCACTTGGGGTAGTGCTAGGTAGTGMACTAGGCAGTGCGCTGGGCACCGAGCTTGGGACTGAGCTAGGCTTGTCACTAGGTATTCTGCTAGGCGCTGAACTAGGAAATACACTAGGGAATGAGCTTGGCAATGCGCTGGGCAGTGCACTAGGGTCATCACTCGGGAGAACACTTGGTAGTGAGCTTGGCGTTAAACTTGGCTCTGAGCTTGGCTTGGAACTTGGTTCCAAGCTTGGTTCAGAACTTGGCTCTAAGCTTGGCATTGTGCTTGGCATTGAGCTCGGTTCGAAACTTGGCATTGTGCTTGGCATTGAGCTCGGTTCGAAACTTGGCTTTGTGCTTGGCATTGAGCTCGGTTCGAAACTTGGCATTAAGCTTGGTATTGCGCTTGGCACTTCACTAGGAATCTCACTAGGGAGAGAGCTCGGTCCTGAGCTAGGGACTGAGCTAGGTAAAGCACTCGGTACATTGCTAGGTGCTTTACTGGGCAGTAAACTGGGAATCTCACTTGGAATCTCACTTTCGGTAGGAAATTGACTAGGCAATTCACTAGGCAATTCACTAGGCAATTCACTAGGCAATTCACTAGGCAATTCACTGGGCACTGAACTTGGTTTGGAGATGGGAAGCACACTAGGGAGTAAACTGGGATTGGAACTTGGCAGTGAGCTTGGAGCTGAGCTCGGCTGAACGCTAGGTATTACACTAGGTAATGCGCTTGGGATTGAGCTTGGTCTCAGTGACGGTTGAAGAGACGGCAATTCAGAAGGACTTCGACTTGGATTCCTTGTTTCTACACCTGAATTTTCGGGAAATGAAACACTTTCAATTAATACACCATAGGATTTTAACTCCTTTGAAAGCTGACCTCCTGCTACATTTTCCAACATTTTTTTGAACTGAATCCTTGATCTATCTCTATCGTAAGGATATGGTGTCACTCTAATATCAACCTGAACGCAATTCATAGTGCTTTGAACTTCGGTTTTACAATCGACCCTCTTCACATCGAGGTCAAGATCTGGAAGAACAGGAGGACCTTCCGATCCTGGTGTAACGCCTGGAGGTAATGGAGGATCTTGAAATCCTGGAGAACCTGAAGGATCTAGAGGGYCTTGAGAAAGTTGAGGACCTGAATAACCTGTATAGATTGAAGAATCTGCAGGTGGCAACAAAGAASTTTTCACAATGCCCTCCAATTCTGAATCAGAAATTTCCTCTGGCACGGCAAGAAAAAGTTGAAGGGAATCATATGGAATGGTAGAWGGCAWGAAACTGGGCATTTGAGAGGAACTAGTTGGATCCCTGAATTCCGTTCGAGTCGATGGATCAACACTTAATCCTCCGAGACGCTCAAGAAATTCATCGCGATCAACTGGAACTTTAGTGCGAGCATCCCCAGTAGGGGATTCGTTTTGCTGCATACTTGATGATGGCCGAGTTGTTGGCAAAGGGGMTGATGTTGGAATGGGATCAAAATTTTGCAACATACGTGCGATAGGATCAGGATTGTCGACGCCAAACAAAGGATCTTCAATTGGACAAGAAGCATTGCATGTAACAAATGGTGCCCAAAAGGTATCAATGACCTTTTCTTCTCCATTATATTCAAAACCGAGATGAGAGCAATTTATCATTTGTCGCTGGTGTGTCTCGTAACAGTCTTGAGATACATCATTGTAAGTTTTTTYGATAAGACGCCCAAGTTTAACCCAATCTTCTTTCCCTTCAAGTATATCTGTTGCAACTGACTTTTTCTCTGCATTGAACGAAATYTTTATTCCGGCCTGGACATCAAAAGGAACTGAGCGACAATTGACTTGATTTTCAATCATCGAAGCGACTGCACCAGCAGACACTGCAACGGTACCTATTGCTGCTGTCGTTATAGCCTGAAGCATGTTGAAGTATTCAGCAAATCGCAAGCAACCAGTTATCATACAGGCTGATGAGAAAAGGAACATTTACAAGAAAATGTTGCGCTAACTGTTGCTTTGGTATMACTATAAATTGCAACTTGGAGCCTGCTTCTGCATAACTTACCACCGTGGTTGTTGTGCTTACTGTTGCTGCTGCCGCCGCCGATGCTGTTGCAACACCTGCCGCCGCTGCTACTGTTGTTGTCCCTGCGACGGCTGATGCAGCTCCTACTGTACTGGCGGCGCTGATGGCCATACTAAARTAAAGGGAGTAAACGAAAACAAATTGATTCGATTCAGATTAGAGTAGCAATGAGCGTCTTGATTTCACCATTTTACTCGCACTTACGACTGCACTACTGCGGCTCTACGAGAGGTAGTTTGAACAAATAAGTAGAAAAATATCAATTCAAGTTAGCGCAACATGTTTCTACCGAAGATGATTCAATACAAAACTCCTTGTCATTGCGACTTACTGTGCGGCTACTGCTACTGCCTGGCTTGCGACAGCTGCAGATGCAGTGACAGCACTACTAGCACTTACGGCAGCACTAGCTCCGGATGCTGATGCTGCGATGCTTGCTGCAGATGCTGTAGAGGTCGCTGCTGTCGTGGTTGCTGCGGTTGATGCTACAGTAGATGCTGCTGTAGTTGCTGCCGTGGACGCTGCRGTTGATGCTGCCGTAGACGCTGCGGTTGATGCTGCCGTAGACGCTGCGGTTGATGCTGCCGACGATGCTGCGGTTGATGCTGCGGTTGATGCTGCGGTTGATGCTGCTGATGATGCTGCTGATGATGCTGCTGATGATGCTGCTGTCGAAGCTGCGGATGACGCTGCGGATGACGCTGCGGATGACGCTGCAGATGATGCTGCAGATGATGCTGCAGATGATGCTGCAGATGATGCCGCGGATGATGCTGTTGAAGCAGATGCTGTCGATGCTGATGCCGTCGAAGCAGAGGAGGCCGATGCTGTGGACGCTGAAGCAGAGGTACTAGCTGATGTTGATGCACTGGAAGATGCCAGAGATGATGAAGCAGAGGTAGAAGTAGTGCTTGAAGAAACACTTGAAGACTGTAGTGCTGTTGAAGAACTCTGAAATGCGCTTGACGAGCTCTGCACCATGTTTGTAGACGAAGTCTGCATCAYGCTTGAACTCTGCACAGCATTGGTTGATGAACCTTGCAATGCATTCGACGAGTTCTGCATCGCATTAGTTGATGACTCGAGTGCAYTGATTGTATCATGAGCATTGTCTASTCCTTGTGTTGCAACATCTGTAACACCTTCRTTGTCCTTGGACTTGCGGACACCAGAKAATAATGAAGWCAAACCCGATACAGCACCTACYAWTGCTACACCTCCCAATGTATAGAGCATCCCCTTTACGATCTTCTTTTCTGAGTCGTCGTCCTCGACTTCATTAGAAAAGTGATCAAAAGAGCTTTCCTCGTCTTCGTCTTCGTACATATATAAGTCATCAGATTGGTTGAAGATATCCAAGACATATAATTCACCTTTTGCTGAATGCCTAGGATAGTCTCCGATTAAGTCTGGGCATGCTTCTTCGCTTTCCGAAAAGCGAATAGCTTTTTTCCTCTCATTTTTGTCTTGGTTCCCATAAATGTCAAGAAGAGATGCTTGCTCTTGATGGGCTTTGAGATGATTTGTAAAATTTTGTGCTGGGAGGGCAGAAAAATCAATCACACTGGGGCCATCAAGAGTCAACTTGCTGGTCTTCTTGGCTACATTCGCATTCCTGTCTCTGGAATCATCACTCGTATCTGGAATAGGGCCCAACAGGTCACTCTCAAACATCAAGTGATGCATGGAAATGGAGGGTTGCTCCATTTCATGCCTTTGCTTCTGAGACTGCTGTTGCGCTGACGACGWAGAATCGGATGAAGACGAAAAAGGAAAACTAGTCGTGTTCGTCCAAGTGCTTTCATCGATGGGGTTTCTATTCTTCTTCTCTCCCTTGTTTGTTTCGGGAACACACATTGGTATCTCGATGCTGCTCTCTTCGTTGGCTAATCGAATCGGAAGGCCGCTGTTGATGCTATCGTGGAGCGGGTTATATATACTGCGCGTGGATCTATCACTCAGATTTCGATCAATAGAATTCCGGCTTTCATCCTTCCGGTCAACGCAGACACCATTTTTACCGCGCAAGCCAATGACTAAGGGCATGCTTTTGGGCTCTGATGATGACTTTTTTAAGGTCTGAATTTGCTCATTACCAAAACCGTCATCGCCCTCATCATCGATATCCAAGCCGTTGAACTTCGTTGCTTCGACTAATGATCCCATCGTTTAGCTACGAAATGTATTTCTTTTCCGAATCTTTGGGTTTCTATGTAGTTGCTGCCACCAGGTATGTGTTGATTTGTAGCTTTTTCCAAAAAGGAGAAAGGTTTTAATCTACCGGTAGGGTTGATCCCATCGCAGTCAATGACTGGTGTTCGGTCGCTGTACAGTATTTGGAACTGTTACGTACCGTACCGTAGGTAGTGCGTGGTTAAGATGTTGATAGTATTGCGCCATGCATGACCTAAACTACCAGAGGAAAGACGCAAGACGAACGAGGTTCGGTGAATGACAAAAAGAAACGAACGAGGTTCGGTGAATGACAAAAAGACCAATCGGTTCTATCCAAGTTAACAATCACTTATAAAAAACTACCTTTTAATAATTAAAAATAAGCTTATCTATTACTGTATAAAACAATCTCTCTGGGAGTCCGATCCGAGTAGTACACATGGAGTCGCTTTATTTACTTTACTTAAGTACACATAAAAAGAATCTGTTCGAAGAGAATAATCTAAAAAATCAAAAAAGTCAAAACCGCATAGGCAATACTGTAATTGTACGTTTGTAATGACTAACGGTCATGTGTTTTGTGACTTTCAGAAACGACTACGTACGCACGTAATCGTGTATTCAATCGTTTCAAAAATTCAGAAAACGATGTCATTTGGAACCATGTAGATTTCGATTTTTGGAGAAATGTGGATTCCCAGAATTTTCCTTCCTACACAGGGAGCGACGAAACTTCCTACACAGGGAGCGACGAAAATGCAACTGGACGAAATTGCAACTTTTCATGATTTTTTTCTTTTTCTTCCTGAAAAATGCCTGTACTCACACTAAAGGACGACTACTAAAACTAACAAAATAGTACCCTACTTTTTAATATTGTCTATCTCTGCAAATAAATATTAGATAAAGACCTACTAGTTTTTGGCAAGATTCATCTTAACACACAAATGAGTGTATTGATCATCATATTGGGTATTGAGGATTATTTGGAATTATTATTATTACACGACCCACAGAACAACAAGWAGTASTA